AAAAAAAAAAAAAAAAAAGATCCCTTTCTAACTATATTAGGTAGGCTGCATGACACTGGACCACCTCAGTTATTCAGAAGGTATTTGTTTACCTCCATCTCGAGTACATTTTGGACAAGAAATTGCAGAAGACTGGAGACCTCACCTGACCGCGACAGTCGCAATGATGCCATTCCCCACCGTCCTGTCACACTGAACACCGTCCTCTATCCAGGCGGCCCCCAGGGACGCCCAGACCATCTCTGGCAGAAAGAGTGCCAGGCGCACGTAGAGCAGCTTAGACATGGATTTCCGTGGTCCAGGATTACAAATGGTCCCTGAAACAGAAAATGTTCAAACTGGTCACTTGCCCCTTCAGAGATGAGTAGTTGCCCTTCCACAACAAAGCAGCTGTCACAGCACACATATGTGTCCCACAGGCACACCCGCCATCTGACTTTTCTGCCTGTACTTGGGCAACAATGCCTAAGTTTGAGAGCAAGAGACAAAGCGAGGGATGGGAAACATGACAAAAAGCCTCAGATTCATTTCTTAGACTTACCAGCGTTTAAAAACACTTCTGGGTTCTAACTAGAGTGACAATAAAATCATTGTCCAAATTGGGATAATTTTGAGAGCAAAGGGAGGCTCTATTAATAATGCTGGGACAACCAACATAAAACAGAACTAACTGTCACAAGCAAACAGAGGTATACAGTCACCCGGGTTCTCACAGCCAGGAAAATCCAGGCACCACCTGAAACAGCATGGGCCCGTTTTTCTTTAATCCTCCCAATGACTGTGACATAGTCATCATCCCATTTTACAAATGAGGAAGCTGAAGCTCAGAGAGCTTAGTAACCACTTTCTAAAACATAATCCAGATTCGCAGGCTGCAGGCTCTCTGCCTCACCAATGCTCCGTGGTCCTCACTTTTGGGAAGCGAACAATTCTGATGTGTGAGACCACTTGCAGAAGCCCACCACTTAGACACAACATTTAAAACTGAGTTTGAGGCTTCCCTAGTGGCACAGTGGTTAAGAATCCGCCTGCCAATACAGGGCACATGGGTTTGAGCTCTGGCCCGGGAAGATCCCACATGCCACGGAGCAACTAAGTCCGTGTGCCACAACTACTGAGCCCACGTGCCACAACTACTGAAGCCCGAGCACCTAGAGCCCATGCTCTGCAACAAGAGAAGCCACGACAATGAGAAGCCTGAGCACCGCAACGAAGAGTAACCCCCACTTGCTGCAACTAGAAAAGTCCGCGTGCAGCAACAAAGACACAACGCAGTCAAAAATAAAAAGAAACAAATAAATTTATAAAAATAAATAAATAAATAAAACTGCTTGTAAAACAAATCCAAGTATCATTAGAGGCCTGTGTACTTTAATTCTTGGTGTAAATCAACTCTCTCCCTTTGGGAAAAAGTTGTGATAAACACCAATTTAAGCAACATAAAAATGCCACATGATTAAAACAAAAACAGTGACTGAAAAAAAATCTAAGATCTAAAAAATAATTTGATAAGGAAATAGCTTTTAAATTCCAAAAGCTACCTTCCATTAGAATGAATTACTTAGAGTCATATTTTAAAATATTAGACACTATCCGGCCTTATTTTCGGCACAAAGACAAAATGTTCTAAGATAACTGAAACAGCACTCTCTCTCTCTCCCTGAGGAACAAATAGTGCAGGTATGTAAAAATCAGTCGTGTATCTGGAGTCTATTATTATATAACAATAGTCAACCAGCAGAGAGAAACAGGAAACAGCACCTGCTCTCATCCCACCTCCTGGAGGGCTAGGATTCCAAAGAAGAGGCTGCTGGAGCAGGGAGGCTCCAGCCCGGGACACTGCCCAGATGAAGCAAATTCAGAGGTAAGGAAGCAGGAGACGGAGTTCTGGTGAAGGGTCCAGAAAAGACATGAGATACTGAAAAAGTCTTTTTATGTTTACGCTTGCCTAGAAAAGCATTTTTTTACTCAGACCTTTATTTTCTCCTCGACGTAAAGAGCTGCCGGTGTGGATCTGGTGCTGCAGCGAGCATCACAAGGCTGACGCCCCAGAATGAATGAGCGTGGCTACATCCCCAATCGTAATATCTCTGACGCTGTCTCAGGAAGTAACCCTGTTGCCCTTCACATGGCTGAGCCAATGACATGAGAGCCACACAAGGAAGGCCTGTGTCACAGAATCTTGGGACTTGACACCTCTAGCCACTGCAGTGATTTTCTCTGGCACGAGAGGAGCTCTTGAGACACAAACGCCGAGGTGATGCAACATGTCCCAGAATCCAAACCAAACACAGCGAAGGCAGACCTTGGAAGCTGAGGGCATTCTCTCAAAACGCAAAAGTCACGAGGGTGGATCTTCCCTAATTAAACCTCCCACGTGGTCAAAACAGTAGGATTTCATCAGGGAGGTTCTCAAATCAAAACTAGAAACTACCACGATATCGAGATTCTACAGTGAAGACCAAGAAAGAGGTAGATACACAAGCGTCAGTTTTCTGGATACAGATGACTGAATTCTCTTTGTTCCAAATGCTCCCTTACAATGTGTGCTGTTTCGTTTAGAGGCGTATCAGCCAAATGCTCCAGAAACAGGGCCTTGCCGTTCAAATGACAGATTAATTATTGAGATGACTTACGAAACAGAAGGGGTGATGGGAGTTATCCATGTATCAGTAATAAAGTTTACCAAGGGGTTCACGGTTATTAAAAGATAGACCTAAAGTTTATAACTTGTAAAAAACTCTGATTCTGTGCAGGCAATGCAGGTAAAGGGTGAAAAGTTCAAAGCGCTCAAGTGGGTATAAAGTAAATGTTAAGCCTCCCTCCCACCACTGAATCCCAGCCCTCGGTCACCTTCCCTCAAAGTAAACTAGTCACTCATGTACCCCCCCACCCACCCACAGAGTCCACACATAAACCAAACAGGTAAGTTTATCCCTTTACAAAAAGGTAACAAACTACATACAGTGTTCTGTACCTTAGCATATTGGAAATCACTCCTTGTCCATTCACAAAGCATTTCACATTCTTTTTAACAGGTGCACAGGAGACCATCATGTGAACAAGCGACACTTAAACCGGCGGCCTACTGACAGGCACCGAGTTTCTTCCAATCTTTCATGCCTACAAGCGACACCGTGGCAAAGTTCAAGTATTTTGCACACATGCAAATATATGGGGAAGAAACCGACTGATACCCACATGTACACAACACACACAGCCAAACTAGGCTTCTAAGAGATTCAACAAATCTACATGCCCACCAACAAAATGAGCTGCCTGAGCAGAAGGGAGGTTCTGGGGAAGGCGTTCCCTGCTCCAGGGAAGACCCAGAAGCAACAGTCTCACAACTGCACAGACTCACCAACCCAGTGTATCATCTTGATGAATTTTCCTTACTGTGATTTAGGCTGAATGTTTTTTTATATATGTAAAAATCTCTTTTACTTATTTTATTGTTCACCGTATTTGCCCATTTTTGCGTTATTGGTCTTTTTCTTATTTATCGTAGGGCCCTTCTATATTAAGGAGATTGGCTCTACGTCTCATCTATTACAATATTTTTTCCCATTTGTCTTTCTTTTTCTTTGAAAAAATAAGAGAAAAACTTTATTTCAAACAGGTTCAGTGGTACGCATGCTACAGCAAAGGCTGGTTGTAACAGCAGTTTAATTTCAAATCTGAACTGATGCACAAATGTGACACTGTTAGGCAATGATCAATTACTACTAAAATGTGGATTAAATCCACCAATATGCCAATTCTGACATTTATTATAGATTCTATTATTTATTTTACTAGTAGAGGTTAATTTTCATCAGAAGAAAATGAAAACAACCTTATGGCTTCCACTGAGGTAATGAGCTGTATCCCCAGTACTGCTTTGAAATTATACCCCTAGGCTGTTAAGAGAAACGCTGACTTCGTCCAAATGTATGACTTCACTGATAATACTGTTGGCTTGATGGTTATTCCTCTTCTTATTTGACTTTAGCCATCATCTGTCTTTTTTTTTTTCACTTTATGGTATTCTTCACTGAAATTTACATAATATTTAAAATAAAGCATATGACGTTATTGATTTGTAACAAATTGGCAATTAAACTAACATGTTTTTATAAAATACTGTCTTCAGTTCAGTTGTGGTATCTTTAGCTACAAGTATCAGAAAATCAAACTCAAACTGGTTTAAAAACAAACAGGGCGCTTCCCTGGTGGTGCAGTGGTTGAGAATCTGCCTGCCGATGCAGGGGACACGGGTTTGAGCTCTGGTCCAGGAAGATCCCACATGCCGCGGATCAACTAAGCCCATGCGCCACAACTACTGAGCCTGCGCTCCAGAGCCCGCAAGCCACAGCTACTGAGCCCATGTGCCACAACTACTGAGGCCCATGTGTCTAGAGCCTGTGCTCCGCAACAGGAGAAGCCACCGCAATGAGAAGCCAAGAGGAGCCCCCGCTCGCCGCAACCAGAGAAAGCCCGCACGCAGCAATGGAGGCCCAACACAGCCAAAAACAAGTAAATTAAATAAATAAATTAAAAAAACAAAAACAAAACAAGCAGGACCTGTCTTAAGTCAAGGGGCTGGAAACGCAGGGCCGGGACTGGCACCAGGGTGCCCCCTGCTTCTCAGCCCTGCCGTCCCCTGTATTCAGCTCCTCCCGTGCTGTGAGCGGAGGGGACTCAGCGGGAGCCCAGCAGCTCACTCGTGCACGCGCCATCCGGGGGGAAAACCACATGCTGCTTCTGGATCTTTCCCGGAGGAGCAGGGAAGGACTTCCCTGGAACTTCCCAGGAAACTCCCTGAATTTCACTGGCCCGAATCAGGGCCCATGTCCAGTCCTGAACCAACCACCCAAGCTGCACCGGGCAGAGGGCCGGTTTCTGTGAGGGGTGGGGGGAAGTCCTGTCTGGAGGAGGCTGCTGCATAAGCAACCCCCCCAGAACACCCCACACAACCGACAGATGTTTGCCGAACTCTGACGTGTGACGGTGCCTGCGAGGAGAAGCCTGAGGCATGCGGCCATCCATCCACCGCAGGGGCGTGACTGTGCCCCGACACCACCAAAACTATCCGAAGAAAAACATTTAAGGAGAAAAAGGCTTATACTTAACCCACTATTACAGTTGTAAACCTGGTGTGCTAAACAGAATGTGATGTGAACAGATAGGGAAATTAAATTAGATACCCTGTACCTGAAATGACACCATCTTTCAGAAAATCTGAGCTCAACAGAACCTCATAGCGCTAAATCCTCATCGTACACATTTCAGCTCCTTCCTTTCCTTCAGCATCAGTACCAATGACAATCCAGACTTGGGGTCCGACAAAGACCAAAGAACTGGGACCGTCTTTGATCCAGACCCCATGCATTCATGTTTTCAGAGGTAAACTGAAATATCCAGAGCTGTATTTTCTACGTTACTGCAGTACGTGGGCATGCGCCATGCTTCTTGGTCATCCAAACCCTAAGGTCTTTTTCTCATGAAACACTTTGCCACTAACATTTCTCTCTGTATTTCTCCCCACGAACTACCATCTATGAAGTTTCAGTCTATCGTTCCACCCTGTCGAGATCTTGATTCCATCACCCAGGGTATCGGCTACTTACTCCCTCCCAGTTTTATCATCATCATCTACAATCTGTAAGCCTCCCTCCTACATCCCGATTCATCCAGTGATAAAACACATTGGATGGTAGCATGCCATGCAGCCCTGCCTTTGATGGATGAGTTTTCCTTTACTGTTGCATTTCTTTATTAGACACAAGAGTGCTCAGCTCATCCTACAAACCACAGTAATCGACAGGGAAGGTTTCCAACGTTTTCAGACATTCTCAGCTAAATGACTGCCTGAAGAAAATGGTAACACATAGAATAAAACTATCAAGAAGAGATATAACTCTTACAACTAATTAATAAAGGACAAAGAACCCAATTTAAAATTGGGCAAAGAATCTGAACAGACATTTCTTTAAAAATAATATAAAAATGGCCACTGAGCATATGAAAAGATGCTCAATATCATTTGTCATCAAGAAAATGCAAATCAAAACCACAATGAGGGCTTCCCTGGTGGCGCAGTGGTTGAGAGTCCGCCTGCCGATGCAGGGTACGTGGGTTTGTGCCCCGGTCGGGGAAGATCCCACATGCCACGGAGTGGCTGGGCCCGTGAGCCATGGCCGCTGAGCCTGCGCGTCCGGAGCCTGTGCTCCGCAACAGGAGAGGCCACAACAGTGAGAGGCCCGCGTACTGCAAAAAAAACAAAACAAACAACAAAAAAACCCCCAACACAATGAGACAGCATTTCATATCTACCAGGATGGCTACGATCAAAAAGTCAGATAATAAGTGTTGGTGAGGATGTGGAGAAACTGGAACGCTTATAAAGTGCTGGTGGGAAAGAAAAATGGTGCAACTGCTTGGAAAACAGTCTGGCTGTTCCTCAGGAAGTTAAACAGATTTACCATGTGATTTAGCACTACCACCCCTAGGTACATATCCAAGAGAAATAAAAACATAAGGGTACATAAAACATGTATGCGAATGTTGAAAGCAGCATTATCTGTAACAGCCAAAAAGTGGAAACAACCCAAATGTCCACCAACTGACAGATGGATAAGTAAACTGTGGTATATACGTTCAGTGCAATACTAATCAGTCATAAAAAGGAATGAAGTGCTGATACATGCTCTAACACGGATGAACCTTGAAAACGTTATCCCAAGTTTAAGAAGCCAGACCGAAAGGCCACATAGTGGATGAGTCCAACTATATGATGTCCAGAACAGGCAAATCTACAGACAGGAAGTAAAGTAGTGGATGCCTAGGGCTGAGGGAGTTGGGGAGAAATGAGGAGTAATTGCTAGTGGGTACAGGAAATTCTTTTTGGGGTGATGAAATGTTCTGAAAATGATAGCGGGGAGGGTTGCACGACTCTCTGAATATACGAAAAATCACTGAATTGTACACTTAAATGGATGAATTGTATGGTATGTGAATTATATCTCAAAAAAGCGATTAAAAAAGAAGAGGTGTTGGGAATTCCCTGGTGGTCCAGTGGTTAGGACTCCCCCACTGCAGGGGGCCCGGGTTCCATCCCTGGTCTGGGAACTAAGATCCCGCAGGCTGCACAGCCAAAAAAAGAAGAGGAAGAAACGGTGTCAAACAGAAGAGACTAGTGTTTACCTTTCATGCTGACACACACGATGGCTGACACGGTGCATATGATAACTGCCAGCAGAATGATGAGCACGATCAGGTAACTGCTGAGCAGGACGCCACCAGGACAGTCCAGCTTCCCTCTGTGCATGAGATACAGCGTCAGGATGCCGATCCACCTGCCGAGACACAGGTAGCGTCAGAAATGGAATCCAAGGAGCCGCTTTGAAAAACACAATGGAAGGAAGTAAATGGAGTTAATACTTTCCAAAACAAGGCAAGGTTCACTTTGGAACTGAATCGTCCTCAATAAAATATTTACTAAGTCAACTAAAGAGTATGGCTTTTTTTTTTTTAATGAGTTTTATACTTTCTATGCTTACATCATTGTTCTTATTCTGTGCCTGTTGTAATACATTGAAAGCCATAAGCAAGCAAATATAATGTGAACTGCTGGAAAGCAGCCCCATCGTGACTCCAAGATATGCACCTGGTAAACAAAGTATATACTTGTTCAGTCATCAGCAAGAGAATTTTTACTTCTGTGGATTAACAAGAAACTGACAAACGCACATGGTAATCTGCTGGGTGTGGTACAAAAACAAGGGGATGGGAAGCAAGCTATGGAAAGATGTTCTGTGGTGAACACTGATCAACGTGAAAGGACAAGGATTGCAGACTCATATGTATATTTTGTAATTCAGGACAGAACAATGAAAGGCAGCACCAAACAATGCAACGTGATAGTGGCTCTTCACGAGAGTTATTTCAGAATCTGGCAGGGAACCATTTCGCAAGAACGCGGTATTAGAGATTCAAGGCCAGAAGAGGTACTGGACTAGATAACTTTTTATGCTTTTGTCAGTTTTGTGATATTACATCCTTCTCTAGAAATAATAACAGGAAATGATCTCAGAAAGACTGGCCCTAAAAACTATGAAACAACTAAGAAGCAGCTCATAATTTCATGTTTTTAAATTCCCCTCCCCTTAAGAATCTACTTTTTAATAACGATGATATTACTCTTCGCTCAGACCCTCTGGGACTGACTTTCAGGCACCCAATTCCACTTCCCACGGATTCCACATTTTGAAAGACTAGAGAGAAAATGCCAGTCCTGTGTGCTGGTCGAGGGATTCAGCCACAACCGGCTCAGGAACGGCACGAACGGTACTGTTGCCATTCCTGCGTTTGGCAGACAAGATGCAGTGCGTTTCCATGCAGAACGCGGGACTGATGCTGATGGCTGTTCCCGGCTCGAGGCAGGAGGTCTCGAGGCCACGGCTTTGGGCGGCAGCGCAGTCCCGGCGGCTCCCAGGCCCGGGTCTCTACGCCCCGGAGGGGTGCCCGTGCCCTGCAGCGCCGACGTCCCGCAGGCGGGCCCACCCCATGACGCCGGGCACGGCGCACCCGCTCTGGACCGCCGTGTGCCGTCTGGAAATGGGGAGAGCAGCGGCACCCACCTCCTCGGGCGGTGGAGAGGACCAGGTACAAGAACGCAGGGCAGGCGACATCGTCCCTGCCCTCGACCGCCTCGGCACCGCTCCCTCCTCCGCCCCGGCCGCCCGCTGCCCGCAGAGCCCGCCCTCACCACAGCACTCGCACGAACAGCTCGAAGACCCCCGGGAAGACCAAGTCGTCGCTAGCGATGGCCCAGCGCCTGCCGAACAGCACCATCCCCGGCATGGCGAAGAACCCGCCGCCCGGGCTCGGGCCGGCTCGCCGCGAGCGCGCTGCCACTCGGAGCCCCGATCCCTCCGCTCAGGGAAGGCCCAGGGCAGGCGGGCAAAGGGCAGGACTGCCCATTTACCAAGGTCCTCTTGGCCCAGGCCGCAGGGCTGGCGGGGGCGGGGGGCGGGGGCGGGGGGAGAGAGAGAGTGAGAGGCCGAGACCGGCGCACGCGCACTGAGCCCCACGCAGCGGCCGCTGGGCCTCTGCGCCTGCGCAGATGAGCTGACCCGGAAGACGCAGGTGGGCCTCGTAGGGTCTTTGCAGGTGTGAATTCTGTTCTGCTATTTTCTTTTTGTAGATAAGGAGTCTTCCTGACGCGAAGGGTTAGCTAGCCCAGAGACCCCCCAGCAGTCAGTGGCGGATCTGGAGTTCATACCCAGGTCTGTGGGGCAGCAAGCCTATGACGAAGTTGCCCCCAGCCCTGACCGATCCTGGGGTCAGGAGTGCCTCTTTAGGACCATTCCCTGGTTCAGGGCCTGAAGCCACACGGCAGCTTTGTGCTGGGGAGTGGGGAATAGCCTGATCTGCCCTCCTTCCTCCCTAGCAGGTCATAGGTTCTGACCACTTCCCAGCCCCTCCACTGCCCTCCACCCTGGCCCGAGCCCCCTTCATCGTGTACCTAACCCGGTCTCCCCAGTGCTCTCCCCCACTCTGCCACCCCACCTACGGTGCATTCTCCCTACAGCAGCTGGGGTGACCTTGTTGAACCGTCAAACCAGGCCCATCAGCTTAGGATCTTGCAAGGCTGCACTCCAAACCCCTAGAGAAGCTTTTCCTTGGTAGTTATACAGCATAAGTCTGTAAATGCGTGACTATCTGCCTTCCCAGGTTAGGGTTACTACTTTCTCCCTCCTTCACTCCACTGCCTGCCACCTTTTTTCCCCTGAAATACATCATGCTTATTCTCGCCCCAAGGTTTTCAAAGTCTCCGTATCCTTTGCCAGGGACGCTCCTCCTGCAGGTCCCTGTCACTCTCTCACTTCATTCAGCCCTGAGCTCAAGTGTCACTGCCTCAAGAGCCTTCCCTGGCCACTTTATCTAAAACAGCCCACCCATCGGTTCCCGCTCCTTTGCCCAGCTTTAGTTTCCTTCACAGCTCTTAGTCACTCCCTGACATTGTATCACGTGTGTTATCGCTGTCCTCCCACCTTGAGTGTGTTAAGTTGCCTGAGCTTGAAAACCTTGTCCATCTTGTTCCCTGCAATGCACATAATAGAGCACATTAAACGCACTTATTAAATACTTGATTAATGAACAAACATTAAATGTCAAAATTTTCCAAGTCTGAAGAACCTTCAGTGGTCTTCTAAAGGGCAGAATTTCAGAGTTAAAAATAATAATGTTAAAAAAAAGTAATAATAATAATAATAATGAAACTGTATTGACGGTTGTGAAAATGATACAGGGAATTGTAAACAAGGAAGTTATGAGATTTTTATAGAAAAAGAGAATCATTCAATCATTCATAAAATAAATATTTATTGGGCACTTGGTGTGGCCAGAAGTGACTTAATCAGAGAGGTCAGGGAAGACTTCCCTGAAGAAGATATTAAAATGAGATCTGGAGGAAGAGTAGCAATTAAGGTGAAAAAGGGTGATTCAGAAGTTAGAATGTTGTGCCTGTGATCACATACATTCTTTTTTTTTTTTCCAGTTTAAATAAAAGAGGGAATTTATTAGAAGAATACAGTTTCTTACGGGGACTCCAACAGCAGAAGTGGGTTAAGAGCTAGGAGGAAGCCTTTCTGGAGGACAGGTCATATTGTAACCACAAACGTTTACTTCTGGGTTTTGCAAGAACATGAATAGAATATCCTAGAGGTCAGTCCTCCCTGCATAGTGCATAAGGGACTAGAATGTGGCTTCATTTCTGCTGGCTTTTTGATCCTTATATTCCTTTATGCTGGCTTCAAACGTGTCAAGCACATGTTGGCAGACGTCTATTCATGAGCTCAGTCAGGCCTCTCTGAAAGGGCTCAACAGCTGGAAGGGCACCTCGAGTCTGTATGTGCAAGTTAATTTTGCTCTCTGAAGGATGGGTTGTAGTGTAACCACAAAATTCCACTTCCAGGTTCTTTATGATCATGTAACAAAGAGAATTTCCCAGGGTATGGTCCTCCTCATGCAATACAAATGTCACACAGTGTCTATCTGTCCCAGCTGCCTGGACCATTTCCAGGGCTGTCTTCCTCTCATTCAGCCATTGGGGTCTTCAATCCAGCCAAAAATAAATTAATTAATTTAAAAAAAGAGTAAACAAATTTTTTTAAGGTAAATGTATTTTTTTAAATTAATTTATTTTTGGCTTTGTTGGGTCTTCGTTGCTGTGCGCGGGCTTTCTCTGGTTGCGGCGAGCAGAGGCTACTCTTCGTTGTGGTGCATGGGCTTCTCATTGCAGTGGCTTCTCTTGTGGCAGAGCACTGGCTCTACGCGCACCGCCTTCAGTAGTTGTGGCACGCGGGCTCATTAGTTGTGGCTCGTGGGCTCTAGAGCACGGGCTCAGTAGTTGTGGCACAGGGGCTTAGTTGCTCCGCGGCACGTGGGATCTTCCTGGACCAAGGCTCGAACCCGTGTCCCCTACGTTGGCAGGCGGATTCTTAACCACTGCGCTGCCAGGGAATTCCCTGTATTTTGTATAGTTCTAATCACTGCAGATATATTCTGCCATTTCCACGTTAACAGTATTCCATTGATTGAATTAGAGCTATTGTATTTATTTATTTATTTTTTAATATTTGTTTTATTTGGTTGCACCAGGTCTTAGTTGCAGAAGGCAGGCTCCTTAGTTGCGGCACGTGGGATGTAAACTCTTAGTTGCAGCATGCACGTGGGATCTAGTTCCCTGACCAGGGATCGAACCCAGGCCCCCTGCATCAGAAGCATGGAGTCTTATCCACTGTGCCAGCAGGGAAGTCCTGAATTGGAGCTATTTTAAAACAATATATTGTGCCATCATGTGGGTATGTCATACAAAGCATAGACAGCCCCTTATTTTACAGTTTTTTTTTCAATTTTCTATTAAAAATAGCAATTTAAAAAGTTTTTAAAAATCAACGTTAAAAAATAACTATTTTTTGTTACTTCCAAAATGAGATATCCAAGTCAAAGCATAGCTCTTGAAAAGGTGAATGACCCATCATGACTTCTAAATGATGAAAATTTTCAAATACAGAGATGTCCGATACCTAAGGACCCACTGTCCGATTTAACAAGGGATAACATCCTGCCATATTTGCTTCATCTTGAATTTGGTGGTGGTGGTGGGGGGAGATCTTTGATATCCTTCCCTGCTTGTTCTTTCAGGTTAATTTCACTATGTATTTGCAAATAACAGCAGGTATTCTTCAGCGATTTCTTGGCATTTCATTTTATCTTCATATTAACTTGAAGAAACTGATCTTTATTCTGTGTTTCAAACTGATTCACATCTTCCTCTATTAAACCCCTATGTTCTGAATAAGATTAATATCCTTGGATTTAATGTTTGCTCTATTGTCTGTGTCAGATGGGGGTTGGGATGGGGGGGGTTTAGCCAGGTGATCTTTCCATCAGTTGGATAGTTGTTTCCCTGAGCATTCTTTAAAGTCCTGAGATCTTCAGTTCTCAGAACTTGAAGTAAACACATCACTTAGTTTTAGGGCACACCAGTTTTCCTATTACAGAACTATTTATTGTCTTAGAAAACTTATGAGTAAATAGGTTCTGTATTTCCATTCCATTTTGGTAATGGAGTCAGTATATAGTGTTTGCCTGAAGACTCACTTTTTAAGTACCCAAGGTCACACTAGGTCAGAAATCTGGAATATTATGTTCTGGTAGTATAAAAAAGTATCCTTGTCATTGTTTAAAAGGACTAGTACTATATTATGCTGCAACTTGCTTTTAAATTGCAGGGACAAATTGGTTGTGGGAATTGTTTCAGAACTGGAAGAGAATGCCCTGCCCAGCACCTGCACAAGACTCTACACTGCCAAGGCTAACCCAGATCAGTTGGCAGGGGAGGGAGCAGTGGTTACTGGGCAGACTGCAGGTTCCTTGGAGTTTCTACATTCAGCCACTACATGGTGAAGCACACAGGAGAAAAACCCACATGGAGCCCCAATCCAATCAGCCCTCATCAGACCTCACTGACAGCAGGTTTTACAAGGTACCTGGGAGTCACTTTCTGAAGATGCAAGCTCTCTAACAAGGGCAAAACTACTAAAGTCGTCGAATGGGTCAAAGGAACTCTGGCTGAACTGGTTCCAGCCGGCTTTCAAGGCAGCTGTCCCAAGTTAAGCACAAAGAAGGGGAGGGGAAAGAGGGCCCCTGAGGTCCTTAGCACTTGATGTACCCCAAGCTGTGTTGTAAGCTTCAGGACATGGGCTTATCTACACCTCACAGAAATCCTGTGGCAGGAGTCTCTGCTGGTAACTGAGCGGGAACAAGGCTCACGTTAAATCCAAGGTCAGAGCTAGAGTGTGGGGGAGCCAGGACTCAACACAAGTCTGACCCCAAAGCTTGTGCTTTACTTAGCATTCCCACAAATCACTTACGATTTCTATTGAAATGGAATCTTTGTTTGATCTTTCCAGGAAACTGTCCAACCAACTGGTATCTTTGGAAAGGCTGGGCTGGATCTTCCCTAGCAAGGCCTTCCACCTGCAGCTTCTTTTCTCCAGCCATTTCTCTCTTTGACCAGACTATGAAGAAGCGGGAAACCTTCCTCTTCTTTTCTTTGGCCATGCTGAGCAGCTTTCAGGATCTTGGTTCCCCAACCAGGGATTGAACCCAGGCCACCACAAGTGAGGCACCGAGTCCTAACCACTGGACCACCAGGGAACTCCCTGGGAAACGTTCTTCAAACCCTGTGATTGAACTGGACAGGGAATGGACTGGTGTCTGTAAGCAGCCAACAGCCAGCAGCTTTTCATTTACTTAGTGGGCAAATTTGTTAACTTTGCTTTATTTCTCTGTATGTTTACATTAAAAAAAAAATTCACACAAATAAAACAGCTCGATCAAAAGTATGAATTACCTGATAACCTTTATTCAGGAAGTGAGAGTAATTCTGAAACAGTGCTTCGTGAGGTGCATCTGACGATGCCTTTGTTTCCAGCGTGTGCAAGGATGCTGCCCAGTCCTGCGCTCCCCTAAGGCACCTGTTAAGGTGTCATCCTGGTGGGCCACAAGATGGTGGCAGCATCTTAGCCAGCTTTACAGTTACTTGGGCAGAATGACTGAAGGAGGCACTGACACTTCATGAATCAGGTGGCGTGCGGAAGTCCCAGATCCTCGCTCTATGCATTGTGCTCTCCAACGAATGATCCCAGCCTGTGTTTGATTTACATGCACAAAAACAAGTGCGAGACCCCCACCCATCCCCAGCTTGGGCAGCAAGGAGTCTGCTCCACTTAGGACACGATTTCCTACCCTTCCTAAGAATCTTCCAAGGAGGATGAAAACAGAAACAAAACTAGGATGCCAGAAAGAAAGATACTGATACACAAAAGCAAAGACATGCGGGGGGTCGGGGGATGGGAATGAGAGAAAGACAGGAGGTTAAACTATGCAGTTACACTGCTTATTTGGAAAGATGTTACGAGACACACTAGATAAAGGTAAAACCCATCCAGCTCCCTTCCTCCACAAGATATTTTAATGCAGCAAGCAAGAAGACTACATCCTTCTTGTAGTAAGCACTGTTAGTACTCAACACTTTAACATTTACGGTGCATCACATAAAAACAAAGTCAAATGCTTTTGCATAAATCAAAAAAACACAGCAAACCAATACAATGGCAAAATCAGGAGGAAAATTCCAAATTTTCTAAAAAATACAGAGGGTTTTAGATTATTAAGTGGAGAACAAATGTTTGCAGCCCTATGTAGAGCTTTTGCTGCCAATCGAAAAACATAAAAACCCATCCTGACATAGGATGTTCCAAAAGCCTAATTCAGAAAAAAGACAATTTATTCTATGTTTAGTAAAATGTTTATTTAGGATGGTAACACAAATCATGCAAGAGCTCAGTAAAAACAAAACAACAAAAAAAGTAAGAGTAAAAGGAATGGCAATTGGTGCTGCCAGTTAAAAAAAAAAGTAAATCATTTTGCTATCCAAAAGTGATATGAAAAATCGGTTGGATCTGAGCATAGACATGGTTGTAGTAATCTTTTGTAACTATAAATTAAAGTGATAGGTAACTACTTGTGTTCCATTTCTCAGAGGAGTCCTAGATCCAAAATAATCACAAATGCTTCTTGCACCTCACGCTCAGACAGCAGGCAGCCCACAGCCCCTGCCCACCGAGCTCTTTAACAGCCTTGGGACAGTCTCAAACTGACACTTCCTAGCAGGGGAGGAGGGCAGGCACCTTTGGTGACTCTTAAATGAGACTCCATCGACATTCAGAACCTTAAAATTTTGGTAATGAAAACCTTAAGACTTGCAAGTCACCCTTACCAGCCTTAAATGTAGTGTTGTGACGTCCAAGGAAGGATTTCCACATCAGGTGGGAAGTGATTTGAACAGATGTACCAAATTCAAACAAAGATAACTCATCTTTTGGCAAAAAAATAAATATAGTGGAATGCAAGTTTGATAGATGGAGGAATATATAATCTACCAATTGTCAAGGAGTATGATTTCATTGCAGACACAAAGAATCAACAATTTCAAAGAATTTAAAAAAAAGTTTGCACTTATTCCTCACAAAATCTTCACTTTTGCAACTATCCCAATTGAAGCTACACACTGACTTTATTAATACAGCATTAAGTTTCTTTGTGTAAAAAAATCTTTGTACATAGTAATAAAAAAAGATAAGGCAAGATGCACTGAACAGAAACCTTCTGGTTCTTTCCCTCTGGGTTCTTACAGAGCCATAGATGACTATCTGCAACAAAAGAGTTAAGTTTCTGATTTTCCATATGAAGCATCTTGTGCCTTTGCTGTGGTAAGAATTCTGTCCGAGCACCCTGAAGGACAGATGCTGGTCATGGTCTTTGGCACTTACGCTGGCAGACTGAGCTTCTTTCCCTTGAGTACTAGAATTTTCGAGAGGGAGAAAAAACAAAAGGTTACTGATCCTGACAAGCTTACAGTTTCCTCCTTCCCATTCCCAGAAGTCTGTCATACAAGATACTACATAGTAAGGTACAAGGAAATAAGCTTCTGGCAACCAACAGGCATCTGATTTTGGTGTCAATAAACAAAGCCCTCTGAACTATGAAAGTGTCATGCACACACAGACTGGAATTTTCTTCATGTTATCTGGATGCCACAGCAATTGAATTTAAAAATAGTAATTCATTGAAATTGTCACTAAATTCACAGCAGCTTTATCATGACTTTCTTCCCTAATTAACATGTACTGAAATATAACTGTTACGATATTTTGGATGTTAAAAAAGGAGATAAGATACATATGACCTTATACCTAGCAATTCCACCATTAGGAATTTTATTGCATAGCCAGGATTCTTAGCCTGGGATCTGTGGTTGGGTTTCAGAAGCTCCTGAATTCCCTAAAACTCTACGCATGTATTTGTGTGAATATGTCTAACTGTGCATTTTTTTCTCAGCAAGGACCATGGCTTTCATCAGATTTTTGTGACGTTCACACATCCTCTATTCATACAAATGCAAAAATATACACATACAAGGATGCTGATTTAAGGACTGGATTTTTAAGCCCAAACACCCATGAACAGGGGGCTGAGTAAATTATGGTAATCCACATAATACTCTATCGCTATTAAAAATTATGTAGATGTCTGGGAAAAAGAGCAGATTATAGAATAACATGTTTAGTTGAAATCATGTATCATTAAATCATTACATTTACTGAAGCATTAACAATGATTATCTCTGAGTGGTAGGATTCTGGGTGATTGTTTTCAGAATTATTAGTTCTGACTGATTTTACAATGAAAACGTGTCATTGTAGAAAACAATAAAGTTACAGAAAAAGATTTAAAAAAAAAAGCCTGAAAACGCTGACCCAGAATTTAACTTTCCAGGCATTAAAATGTTTCTCTGAAGCCAGTTCTGCTTTCTGAGCAAGTGTCAGATCAGGAGCATGCTAGGCAAGGAGAGCCCCTAGAGGAACACACGGCCGTAGAACAAAGCTGGCAGGACGCAGCCCAATGTACCTTTTGTAATGTACAAATAGAAGAAGTCGCAGTACAGGATGGTCTGGACAACGCCGGCCACCACAGCGATGAGGTCAAAGAAGCCCTCAAAGTAGAAGCGCCAGATCCAGTTGACAAGATACAAAGCACGGTAGAGGCCCAGGAAGAACAGGTAGTGGGTGGTGATGGTCTCGGCCTCCCCGGTCTTGCTGATCATGAAGAGCTGTGGTAGGATAGCCACTGACTCAAGGTAAATGGAGAAGGTCCACAAAATCTGTAAGAGAAACAGCACGCTTTGGTCAGCATCCAGGGCCCACCACGAGTTCACAGGAAACACTCTTGCTTTACTGTGAAGTGGCACAGAGTGGGGAATCTGGCGTCAGAGCCCAGGCCAGAGTAGCTCTGCAATTTAATAAATCACAGAAACTTTAGCCACAGATAAAGGCACGGACACTCCCAGTGACAAGCTGGATAACCTGGACAGCTCTGCCTCTTGGACTTTCATCTGTCTCTCCAGCGTTGCATTCTTCAATTTTCTGGGACTCTACATATATGCTGTTTCTCCTGCGTCAGCTTATCCCACTCCGAATCTAGGGTCCCTAATTTCTGCTTTCTGCCAGGGTTGACAAGACTGATGACTGGGTCCTTCCACTCCCTCACTGCTCTTTTTCCTCACCAACTGGGTCTCCTTTCCAGGCTATTTAAATCGTCTCACTATTTTTCTTATCCTTCAGGCTTTTTTAGCATGGTTAAACCACAGGGGTAAGAAGTCAGAGTTGTAATCATGCAAACTCTCTGCCCAACACAGCACTTTATTCACGATGACGAAAGGAGGACTTGTGAGTAGGCCCTGGAGTGTTTCAAAACCCAGGCGCTCCCCGCACCATCAGATGACCACCGTCAGTGCGGTAACTGAATCAAGCCCAGGACGCTCAGGGGTGGGCGGAGCGCATAGGAGCTCTGGGGCACCACGCTAACTGTGCTTCCTGAAGACGAGGACTGAAGCAACGCTGCTTAGGTGATTCGCAGACGGCACCAATGAGCGAAGCCCGTGCATGAAGAGTGGGAGAGGGGAGAAGACGGTGTGCTTCAGACACTCGGACACGCAGCGCACTGTGCTTGGAATCACAGAAGCCAAGTTTATATTCTAAAGGAGAGTCAGAGACACCCAAAGGGGTGTCTAACCTGGGTGCTTAATTCCTGCCCACGATTTATTTACACCAAACCATGTATGTCTGCCAACCCACCGCCCCGCCCCCCCAAAACCAAACCAGAACAGAACCCCATTACCTGCAAACGGGTCTATTTCCCTAGGGAACCAGACAGGACTACTAAATAGCCTCTTAACTAACCTCGAGAGGAGAGAAGTCATGATTGACTAGAAACGAGAGGCCTCCCACAGGAACCACCAGAAACTCTACTCGGAAAGTATCATGATTTCCATCGTAGGTTGCCTTAAATTTCATGTAGATCAGGTACACCGTGGCATAGGAGCAGGCAATGTAGATAAGCTACAAAGAAAAAAACATACTGGGTCATCAATATCTTAAAATTGCTCAAACTCTCTTGGCTGTCTACATCATCCATATATATACGTATACACACACACACACACACACAAACACACACACACACACACACAAACACACACACACACACACACGTGTGTGTGTGTGTATATATATATATATTTTTTTTTCATTTAAAATATATACTTTTTTGGGATATACAGTTCTATAAGTCATATAACCACCACCACAATCAAGACACAGACCAGTCCTAACACCTCCGCCACCCCACATTCCCTCATGCTGCCCCTGCAGAGTCAAGCCTTTCTCCCAGCCTAACCTCTGGCAATCACTGATGAGTTCTTGGTCCCTGCAGTTTTTGCCTTTTCTAGAATTCCATTCCATAAATAGAATCATAACCATATGTCAACTTTAAGATCAGCTTCTTTCAGTTAGCATAACGATTTGAGATCCAACTGTGTTGTCATGTGTATTAAGAACTGGTCCCCCCATATTTCAAAGCAACAGCCCATGTCTGGGTGCCACAGCTGTTCATCCACCCAGCAGTTAAAGGACAGGTGGGTTGTTCCCAGCTTGGGGGATGGTGGGTAGAGCTGCTGTGAACATTTGTGTACAAGCTTTTGTGTGAACGTAAGTTTTCATTTCTCTTGGGTAAATACCTATGAGTGGGATTGCTGGATCATATGTTAAGTGTTAAGTTTAACTTTACATAAGAGACTGCAAAGAATGTATTTTTAATCTTATTTTAAACTATTAGATAGTAGCTTTAGGAAAAAAGTGAACGGGAAGTTCAATGCAGTTCAAAACCAAGGCACTTCCTTACAGCATGAAGATATTTCTGAGCTAGTGCTTTACTAAACAATAAACAATGTAACTCATGTTAAACTTTGCAATGATGGTTTTAACTTATATATCACTGCTATGAAATGAAATCTTGCCTGGTAACATAACAAAAGCAAAACCAAACTAAGCGGTAATTGGTAAAACACTGCTGCCTACATGTTCGTCTTTCACATTCAAAAGTTAAAACACTATATATTCATCTGAACCCAAGGAAAAGTCTGATATTCTGAAATTACACCAATTTTCCGACTGCAGAATTTTAGGCTCAAGAAGCAAACGGCAATTCCAGCCTATAAACATAGACAACCAGGATGTCAGCCGCGTGGCCTGGTGCCACTTCTCTCCAGGAAAGGCAACTTGTGAAACCTGATTAGGAAAACATTTGGGCAAAACAACTTCAGAGGAAAATGAGAGCAACCATCCAGTCCACATACGCTTAAAAACAAAACAAAACAAAGACCTAAACTGTCCCTGGCATCTTATCATGAAGTTATATTTGCAAATAGTCAACACAATATCAATATTAAAATTGCTGATCATACCCATATACCAAGAAGTAACACACACACTCCCCTCCCCAATGCAAAATCAAGGAAGATCAATATCTTACACAGAGTTCTCTCCACATGAAAATATATGCCCATATGTATATGAATAAAATAACATATAATCCACATGTATATACAAAATACACACACATCTATGTACAGAGCCCCCCACCCCTTCCACAGAACATCCTGTGAAGGCACACGGTGGCCGGGGGTCCCTCCCCAGCCCCACTCCTGCAGCCAGCCCAGACTGCGCCCATAAAGCCACTGGGAAAAGCAGCTGCTTTTCTCCTCTCACCAGTGCTTGGCATTTAAAGTAAAAAGCTATGAGCATGTAAAACTTGGCTCTCACTGCCCTGATTTTCAGGACATTATGTTTGGAAGCAACAATTAAGCAAGTAAGGATTCCTCTGAAAGCTAGGCGTCCTGGGGGTAAGGGGACTCTCACTCATACACTTCCAGTATCTACAGTTTTAGCTTGCCTGCACAGCAAGCAAAGACCTAGGCTTTCTGTTTTGGGCAGCACCATGCAGCTTGTGGGACCTTAGTCCCCTAGCAGGGATCGAACCCGGGCCCCTGGCAGTTTGGCGGTGAAAGCGCAGAGTCCTAGCCACTGAACTGCCGGCAATTCCCGGACCTAGCCATTTTTAAGGAAGCTAATTATTTCCTGATAATGAGGCTCCCATTACTTAGTAATAAAGAATGGAATGATTACAGGTAACTCAAATCTGCTTCTTAGTAAAGACCACAGGCTCAAATATTGCTTTGTCTACTTTGACCTGTGCTTATAAAAATGCTTTTGAACACAGAGTGTTGGGGGGAGTTGCTTTAAATACCATACTCATGGCTTTAAACGTTGCTTCCCTGGGTACCAATAACCAAGTGCCTACCATAGTGCCCAGCACGCAGGTGCGGTTAAGCATTTGAAGAATGAATGAATGAAATCAGACATCCTTTACACATGCTGAGAGCCCCATACTTTCCTTCATGGCACCAATCACAAATTGCAGTCATCCATTTAGTGCTGCTATGATAGTCTGCCCTCCGCTGCCAGACCGAGTGCTGCTTGCTGTCTGCCCCGCCCTCACTGCGCCCTGGCGGTGCTCACCAAGTGTGAGGTCAGTGCCTGTGGGAATGAACTGAGGCTGCCCGAAGCGTGGAGCGCGTACCACCAGTGGCACACGAGAGGCTAGGTGGTATACAAACATTTTGTATTTTGAGAGCTATACATTTGTTTTCATGCGGGGATATATGACACCAAAGGTGTCATGGATACTAATACTTAGGACAAGTTAAAAGGTTTAAAATCCATATTAAGTAAATTATGGTGCAGATGTTGCTTCAGCACAGCAAAAGTAACACCCAGATGGCACACCCCGGCCCTCCCAGAGCAGCAGGACAAGGCTGTGTGGCAAGGAGCCCTGGCTTTTGCTTCTCGTTCTGAACCAACTTGCTGGGTTTCCCAGGGAGTCTATAATTTCCCACTGCTTGAAAACGTGATAGTCACCCCTCTTTCTTGTAAGGTTTTCAAGAGCTTTAGAACTTTATCATAGTTGAGGAACTTAAGACTAAGAAATCTCTAAGTGTGAAGCACTTTCATTAAATAGATACTGCTTTGATGTAGAAAAAAATTATGCTTAATGGTAACTATTCCTAGTTATATGTACTAGGTGGTCTAAAAGTGCCTACATCAAGAACAGCATATTTAGACATTATTCTTGAAGATGTTTAATTAAGTGCACAGGTGACATAAATTTAACTGTTTCCACAGGTCTGTGAATTACGGATAAAATACATTCCACTGGATGCCACACCATACCTTCATAGACGTATTATATAATGAAATAAATGAAGTAAAAAGATCCAGGTAACGAGTTGTGAAGACCAGTGCAAAGAGAAGCTGGCTTTTCCCAGAAATACCTAAAGAAACAAAAGGAAAGCATTAGAAATGCCTCCAAGAGCTTTATGATTTTTGTAGACAACACCGTGCAGGAAACGCAGGAAAGTGGGTCACCAGGGATCAAGGTTGATGGTCGGGATGACTCTAAATAAATGACAGCAGTTTCAGGTTCTATTTCCCTTAACATTCTTGAACATAACCGTTTGGGAAGTGACTTAATTATGCCAGCTCCAATATACCAGGATGTGCATTGTTCAAATGAACATTAAACTTCTCAAATATCTCTAAGCAGGAAGAAATTTATTTCAAAAACCCTGCTGTTACTTAGTGTTGTAACTTGTCTGTTACCTTTAGCATCTTTCCATTTTAAAACAATGTCTCGTGGTGACAAATCTTTTGAGGATGGAGTTGGAATCTACCTGGATTAAGGAACCCTGTGGGGGACAGTGCTTCAGGGCAGAGTTTGAGCAGTAATCCTCCTGGATTGGCCTCCCAAGGTGACTTCTTTTGTGAGGGCAGCATTTACTTGGGACAGGTTAAAAACTTTTAAAAGAAGTTCTCTTAGATGAATCACACAACCAATCTCAGACTCACATAAAAATGCTCCTGGATGCTATGGCAACAAGAGGGTGGGAAACTGCTAGTCTCCCAAAGAGCAGTCTTCTATTGTTTTCACACTTTGAAACTGTTTCTCCCTCCAGAGCACTGTTGTGGCACATGGAGACACAGCCGGGGACATCTAGTAGATCAGGTGGAGTGTACCCGACATCTGGATTTGGCCAAATATTTGTGTGACAACAGACTGTGAACTGTGGGTTTCAGAGGTTGGAGAAAGAGCGAATTCATTAAGGAAACTGAGTCTTACTAGGTGTCAGAACCGGCTCAACCTCACCTACATTGCAAACTTCACACCATCAGACATTTAAGCAAGTTTGTATTTAGCAGAAATGTCACTGCAGCCAAATCATTAGCAATATTCTTCCAGAATGTGAAAATCACATTGTTTTAAATGATATTTTACAAACAACACTACTTTACAAAACAATTTTATAGCCTGTTGAAGCGAAAAGCCTGGATCTAAAAATGTTACTTTCTACGCATGCATAATTGCAGTTCCAACCTAGTCACAAAAATACCTAAATAGAAACTGAAGAAAAAGTTGACTCTATCCCTCTGGATCCATCAGTAGTAACCAATTTCAAGCGCCAAAGGTGGAGATACAGATAGCCTGCCCCTTCTAGTCTTTTCTCCAGTAATAGGAACTTTTTTTCTTATCAAAGATCAGTGTTCCAAAGGAGAAACAATGAGGCTGCCATTGACATAGAGAAGATGGGAGAGAGAAGACAAGATGGGGGAAAAAGGACAGGGAGCATGCAGTTCATGTTTGGTAATTGTTGAAGCCTTGAGTGAGAAATTTCCAGTTCATTTTCTATATGGTTCTTTCCAATATTTTAAATAAAAAATTATGGAATACACATGGGCAAATTTTGTTGTAAAGGGTTTATTCTAATGGAACTTTGGAAGCCTGGCAAATTTGAAATTTGTCCTCATTTTCAGCATTCCTATACTAAACATCAGGGACTATCATATTGCTTTTACCACTCCCCTTTGCGACCCAATTCACATCACTTCCTCTGGGAAGTCGTCTTTGAAGACACGCTCCCTCATTGCTGTTTATTCATTCAGCAAGTATATACTGGGAACTACCTCATGCCAGCTGCTGCCCTAGCTCCTGTACAGTGCTTATAAAACACACTGTGATTACCTGGTTGCCTGTCTCCCTCTCCCCCAAACCCCCACCAGACACAGAGGTCTCCAAAGGCCGGGGTCATGCCTTATTCCACTTCGTGTTCTCTGTGCTGAGCACTGGGCCTGACACACAGCGGGGCCCAGAAAATATTTGCTGAATGAATGAGCAAATGGAAAAAAGAAAATGTAATTCATTTTATTTTCATGTCACGGGGGTAAGCTCTCATTTTATGGTATTTTGGGGTAACACTTCCAAAGAGTTTCTAAGTCATACTGTGTCTCTATGACTGTAAGTAGGCGACATGCTCTGGGCTCTGCCCTAATTTACTGCCAGCCAGAGGGTGGGGCAGAGGAGCAGGGGACAGGCAGCGAGTGGCCTGCAGCTTGTTCCGTGGTGCAGAATCCATGCAGGAACCGCCATGCTGGAAACCTGAGTATGCTTACAAAGTTTTAACCTATTCTTCCTGGCCTGGGATCCTGATTAGCAGGTAGCAGCTTTTCCCTTTAAAGCAGAAAACCTGTTCTGTCTTCCCAGGAAGGCAGGGATCCCAGCTGAAGACAGATCAGGCAGGGGCAGGAATCTCCTTCCAGGAGGAATACTTGCTATAAGCCAGAGGGGCTCCCACGGTCAGTTTCTGTGTTGAGACCAAAGCATGCGAATGCTATCGGTAACAAGCTCTCAAGAACACTCACTCTAAATGTTTCTGTAATAGCCATCCCAATACCAAATGCACCAAATATCCAGAGTAAGGAGTATAGCTTGTAAAATGGAAACCAGTCATTAAACTTAACACCATTCCTGTCTTTTCCCACTGGGTCAAGTTAAGTTTAATAAAAGCCTACAACTAAATACTCCACTGTATGTTACTTTAAATTAAGCTCGTCAAAAGCTGCACTTCTCATATTCCCATTGTATTTATAGAACAAAGCCCTCAACCAAAAAGAAAAGCGTTCAATGAATTATTTTTGTCCTGGCAACAGCTGGGATGCAACCAAGCACTGTAGGTCAGACTACCAGGATAATCTGCATGGCAGCGTTCAACAAGGGTCCCAGGCACCATGCTCTGACCCATTGTCTCAAAGGATCCAGATGCTCTCCTAAAGGCCATTAACTTACCCTGGTACCAGCAGCCCAAGAGTCAGCACCTGACTCATAACACAGCTCTTGGGACTTGGGGAAAGAGAGGCTTTGGAGCCAGAAGGTTTGGGTTCAAGCTCAACCCTTGAATGCACCAGGTAAGTCAGGGCCCATTACATTCTTGGCCTCTCTAAACCTCACTTTCTGCAGCTGTCAAATGGGGACAAATTATGCCAAATTGTGGGACTACTGGAAAACATGTTTTTGACTATACCTGCCATGCTGCAAATGCTCAATAAATGACAGCTATTACTATGTATCGCTCTGCCATCTTTTCTTGTTTTCAGAGAAATCCATGCTATTTTATTAAAAATAACAACTGGACTAACATACATGGAATAAAAATCAAAAGGACCTTTTTAACACCCCTCCCACCTCCATTTTAAGTTCAACGTTCCAGGCTTTTTGTTAAAGCCGCTTTCTATATGTGTATTTATATGTGTACCCACACGTTTGCCCCTTAAAATGGGGCCATACCATCTCTTGCTTTACAATTTGCTCTGTTAACTCAGTGTTTCAGATATACCTTCTCCTGTTAATACTTCTAACTCATTCTTTTTAATAGCTGCATAGTGCTCCATAGTGTGCAGGTACCGACATCTGTGTGACCCTTCCACTAATGGACATTTGGGTTGTGTACAATTTTTGTTCTTATAAATACTGCATGAACATCTTTGTATCTATAAACAGTGTTTTGTATTTATTTATGTACAACAAACATCTTTATACCTATATATAGTTTGTTCACATATATGACAATTTCTGTAGTTCAAATTCCCTAGAAATGCTGGGATAAAATAAACACTTTGTTTTGAAATACTGTCCATAGGCTGTGCCAATTTACATGTTCCTTACCACCAGATGAGAATACGCCTTACTTCACACCCTTGCCTACATTAGATCTTGTAAACCTCTGACGTTTTCCCACCCAGCAGCAAATGATGGCGTAAACTGCTATTTTAATATCCAAGTTCCTAACTACTAGTGAGGCAAGGCATTCTTTCATGTTTAACTGGCCTTGTTATTCTCCTCTGAACTGCCAACATTGCCCATTTATCTATCAGATCGTTTTTTTTAATTTGTAGGAGTATTTTACTATGGTTATTAACCTTTTGTCACTTAGATATATTGCAGATTATTTCTCTCAGTTTATTATCTTTTAACTTTGATGATATTCTGAATTAGTAAGTTAACTTGGGGAGACAAATCATCTTGCTTCCTCACCAGCCTGCCTGGTCCTATCCAGGACATTGGTATGAACATATATTCAAGGTCGCCTTCTATGTCCATTAGCAAAGTTTCATACTTTTCCTCATAGAGGTCTTATGCCCTCCTTGTTGGGAAATTAAGGGAGCCTTCCCTAGGGTCTTGCCACCTCACATCCATAGGATTTACTGCCTATATGGTTTGATACCCTGTGTTTTTATCTTTTTATATATGTCTTATTATTTCAACTAAATTGCAGCTTTCTTGAGAGCAGAAACTTTGACAGCAACAAGCTGCTGCTCTGGACTGTGTCCCCAGTGCCTTGCACATGGTGGGTGCTCAGTAAGTGAGAGCAATGATTACTCACGAGACTGGCACTCAAAAGAACAAAGGTGACAGCTGCTACCAAGAGGGAGCTGGGAATGTGAGGCAAAAGCTTCCTGAAGTACTCAGTGACAATAAAAGAGGAGGTCTTTTCCATGTGCTTCAAAAATATAAACTGTCACAACAAGGACATATTGTATAGCACAGGGAACTATACTCAATATCTTATAATAATCTATAAGGGAAAAGATTCTTAAAAAGAATATATATGTATACACATACACACACACATATATATATGTATATATATATGAATCACTTTGCTGTACACCTGAAACTAAAACACCGTAAACCAACCACACTTCAATAAACAAAAAAAAAACAAAAAAAGAGGGAAAAAACTCCCCACATCTGGAAAAGCAACTACAAAAATCAATCAGTCAATCAATCAAAATACCAGACACTGCACACTAAAGACAATTTAAGACGAAATATATTAAAACCTAAAACTTCAACACATTTAAGAGCCAAGAAAATGGCTGCTTTTTGTAAATTAGATACATTCATTGCAAAAAAACTATCTCCTAATAAATTCAAAATATAAAGGTAAATATATATATACATATATATATACACACGTACACACACACACACACACATATATATATATATATATATATAAACTGTCCAATTACAAGCAATGCAGGGACACTACATTACTGTCATCTTCAGGAGAGTGAAAAGTCTGCAACTTACACGACAACAGCTAACAATAATCTAAGCAGTAGGTGGAGGAGGGAAGGGGAGGACTAGGGGAGGATGGCTGGGAGCCTTGGAGCTCAGAAGAACTCCACTAGTACTTTAAGCACAATAGATACAGTACTAATAATAACTATCAGCCTATAGGAAAATGTAGATAGGAAATCCTTCACCTACAAACCAAGGCTTGTTCTCCCAACACTACCCAGGTCAGTGTTGAAGACAGTAAAGTGACCACTTGAGCATACTGGGGATCCAGCTGCAGTCATAGTTCAGGAAGATGAGGAACTCACACTTCATTTGGGCACCCCTCTGTCATGACAACAGCAGACACTGGAGAATGCCAGTTCAAACCAAACCAAGATCAACTCCCCTGCCCTCACTTTAAAATAGGTCCATTAAGGCAGTTGTTCAAGAAAACAGAATCTTCCTCACTCACCTGTCTCAGCCCTTACCCTAAGGAGAAAAAGCCCCGTGGTTCTATAGCTGCAGCTATGTTTGTTTTTATTTGTTTGTTTGTTTATTTACTTATGGCTGTGTTGGGTCTTCGTTGCTACACACGGGCTTTCTCTAGTTGCGGCGAGCGGGGGCTACTCTTCGTTGCGGTGCGCAGGCTTCTCACTGCAGTGGCTTCTCTTCTTGCGGAGCACAGGCTCTAGGTGCACAGACTTCAGTAGTTATGGCAAGCGGGCTCAGTAGTTGTGGCACGCAGGCTCTAGAGCACAGGCTCAGTAGTTGTGGCGCACGGGCTTAGTTGCTCTGCAGCATGTGGGATCTTCCCAGACCAGGGCTCGAACCTGTGCCCCCTGCATTGGCAGGCGGATTCTTAACCACTGCGCCACCAGGGAAGTAGCAGCTGCAGCTGTGTTCAAAACAAATGCCAAAATCCTAAAATGAACCCCAATACCAGTATTTTCAAAGTGAGAAACACAACCTGAATGTACACGTCTCCTATTTTAGTTGAGAACCTCATATCAAATTCTTACTCTTTCAAGAGTCTCTAAACAACTTTAAATTAGGATGGAAAAACAAGGCAGCTAGTCAAATTCAGACTTTAATTCTGAATAAACGATCTTGGTGATTTTGATTTTTACAAGGCCAGGAAATCTCACATATAAGAACTAAAATGATCCTAAGTCTGATAAAGAGGATAGTTTAATAACTATTGGAATACTGGGCAAATGCACACAAACTTAACTCACCTATTTACCTTCCTTATTATTTTGGCTGAAGTATTTTATATTTTCCTAAATGCTCCAAAATCTCCCAAATGAGAATATTTTAAAATGTTCTAAATGAATATTTTAAAACAAACAAAATAGCAAACCTCCTTACTTTCTCCTATTACTCAAGGTTCCCTTAAGAATTCTATATTCAGCATTGCACTAACTTCTCCCCAACATCTTAGTTTAGATACACATTTAGGAGATCGCGTGCTTCAACATTTAATGACTTGACAGAGGAGGGGATTCTGAGGAACATATGAAGGATAAAGAGATTCATACAAAGATTTTGGAGCAAAAATAAAGATTAACAGTAACATTTTCTGGTGGGAGGATGGGCAAAATGGGTGAAGGTAGTCAAAAGGTAAATCCTGGGGATGTAACTACAGTGGTTAACTGCAGTTAGCAACACTGTATCGTATGTTTGAAAGTTGCTAAGAGAGTAGATCTTCAAAGTTCTCATGGCAAGAAAAAAATGTAGCTATGTGTGGTGATGGGTATTAACTAAACTTACTGTGGTAATCATTTCACAATACACATATCAAATTTTTACGTTGTACACCTAAAACTAATATAATGTTATATGTCAATTACAGCTCAATAAAGCAGGGATAAAAAATAACATTTCCTGAGTGCAACAGAAAATGACCTAAACTACTCACCTGAGTAATTTTGAATAATTTAAAACAAAATTATTCAGGCCAAATAGATATTTATTCAAATCCTTAATTGTGAGTTACTGATCACCTGTGTTCCAACCCTGGCACTAATTTTCTCACCTCCCTGAGCCTCAGTTCCCTGGTCCACGGAATGGGGGCAACAGCACTCACCTCATAAGGTTATTTCAAGGACTACATGGGATAAGCCATATAAGGTACTTAGCTCACTACCTAATACATAGCAGGCGCTTAAATGTCAGCTATCACAATCGCTGAAATTACTTCGCTGTCATTGGAAATCATACAACTGAACCTCTCAGAGCTAAACATAAATTGAGAGATCACCTCCAAGTCAAACACACCAGCTTCAGTACATGGACTTTGTAACATCCACTTTGATTGCTCAAAGGTCTTTTTTGGTTTTGCTTACTTCCTGGATGTTCCAGGGAGACAGGTGAGGCCTGAAGACAGCAGCCAAAGATGTGGTGTTCCTTGACAGGTGAAAATATTTAGAAATCAGTCAGGTAAATGGAATCTCTGCCACCCAGGTCCTTTGGGACCCCATCTTTTACTGTCTCTGCAAAAATTAAGCTCTTTAATTCATCAAACATTATTATACTGAGGCCATGGCATCAAAAATATGTTTAAGGAAGACGCTGTAATTTTAAGAAATCGTTTAAAATTCGCCATTCTTAAGCTTTTAGGGTTAATGAAATGCAAAATCCCGCAACTACTAGCCGGTAAAGATTTGTCTCACTGCCTCCCAGCAGTGTGAGAATGAAATGTGTACTCCAGAGGAGCGAGCCGCCAACTCACTGGTGACGTGGAGTGAGGAATTACAGGAGACCACATGAGACCTCGGCGGTACCCGGCGCCGCGCCGCAGGTTGAAGAGAACCCGTTATTAGATGAAGGCACTCGGAGTTTGACAATCTAGATCGTCCTTCAAAGCAGCATTAACTGCCCCAAGAAATTCGCTTAGAGACCTCCCCATACCCCCTCCCGTGGCAGGCGTGATCCTGGACCCGAGAGCTGGGGTGTTAGAGCAGGACTCTAAGGACAGGCCTGCCCGGACACCCTAACGTAATGGCCAGTCCTCGAAGGGGCAGGGTGGGGAGCAGGGTGACCTCTCCCCACACCAGCCCCACCTACCAGGCTGGGTAGTCTGCCACGTCAGGCCGAGCCGCCGCCGTCCTGCCCATCCTCCTCCCGCGCGTCCCATTGATTCGCGGGCTCCCCGCACCTCGGGACCCCCAGAACAGGCGCTCGGAGAAGCGCCCACTAAAGCCGCGGGCGGAGGCCGCGCCTGCCGGACCCCCGCCCCCCGCTCCAAACTTTTCAGAGAGAACAAGGCCCCACGCTGTCCAGTTGGCGCCTCCCCCGCTCCGACGGCTCAAGTTCGCGAGCCGACCAAGTGCAGAGCTGGGCCCAGCACCGCGACACCTCGCCCCGGCCTGGGCTTCCACCCCGAGGGGCCGCAGGCTCCCCCAGGGCCCCGCCGCCCGCCAGGCCGGCCGAGGGGGTGTGTCGGTCCGGCGCAGGCCCGCGGGCCGTGGAGCAGCCGAGGTCGCCTGCTCCTCCCAGAGACCCGGCCCCACGCCCGAGCCTCTCCTGGGCCTCGCCCGCCGCTTACCGGCGCAGGAGCGCGTCTTCCAGATCTTCAGCAGCAGGATGACGATGGCCGCCAAGTGGGACAGGTCCCCGGTCAGCCGGAAGATGTTCATGGCGGTGGCGGTCTGCGCGGCGGCCCCAGGCTCCGCGGCTCAGGCAGCGGCGGCGGCGGCGGCCACAGACAGGAAGCTGCGAAGATGGCGAGAGCGAGCGCGACGTGGCCAAAGACGTGGCCGAACTGGCGGCGCGCGCGCGGGGCAGCTTGGGAGAGCGGGCGGCCGCCAGGCCCCGCCCCTGCCCCGCCCCTTAAAGGGGACGCTCCGGGAGCAGGCCGGGAGGGAGGGCAGGCTCCGGGGCCCCCTACCCAGGACCCCGACTGCTTGCGAACTTCCCTCTGCCGGGTTTCTGGCTTCCCCTCGGGTGCCAGCGATTTCCTTTAATTTTTGAAATGACACTCTCTTGTGGGGGATTTTTTTCCCCCTCCCACTGATCTTAAGAGCTCTATAGGCTTACTGTATGAAAAAGTATGAGGGGGGAAAAAATTAATGTGATTGCATCACTCAAGATAAGGTGGATATTGGGGTTTCGGGGAAGGTGCGGCTTATGCGGGGATCTGAAGATTTTACCATTCTGGGGACTCTCTTTGACAAAGAGTGTGCAAAATTAGGTAGGAAACGAACATTTCTGTAGGATGTGAAAATAAATCACAAGAAATTACTAGCGGAACGAAGCTGACAAACAGGATACGCTGCATAATTTGCGGGACCCAGTGCAAAATGAAAACGTGGGTTCCCTGATTGTTCAAATGCAGGGGGAAAAAAACCTGCTGCTAAAGGTTCTAAAATATAAACCTTTTCCCTTTATTTTGCAGTCTCTCTCGACTTGCTTCCTGTTCTGTTTCATGTCATTCTAAGTAAAGAAAAAAGAAAATGTTAAACTATGATCATGAATTTTACCGTTTGTCTTGATATAGAGCCATGTCAGTTTTGAATGCAAATATCAGAGCCTTTAACACGGGTGCGGAATCGCTGGAAGTGTAATTTGTATTTTATGGTTTGTGCATGGAGGGTGCCTGGAGTTGGCCAGAAGAGATGAAGACAGGCCAGACCCAGGAAGGTTGGAGGGAGGAAAAAGGGGTCCCCAGGCACAGTGGAGGCCAAAGGAGCACATCTTTGGGCGTGGAATAATGGATGGGCCAGTGCCACTGCTCCAGTGAGCCAGGGTCTGCCCTGGACTTGGCTGGAGGACCAGCATGGGCCTGATGGCTGCTGGTTCCCTCTCCCTCCAGCTGAGCTTGCTGGGGCGGTGAGGTGAAACCAGGCACCTCCCCTTACCATCCCCTACCATCTCAACCCATGGCAGAGGGCAACATCAAACATATTGCAACCTCGGTGCCAGGACACATGAGGTACCTGGATCAGGGGTGGGCACGAGGCTTGCCCCTGCCAGGTTGGCCACTAAAAGGTGGGACAGCCATCACCATGTCCTGCTCAGAGAAGTCTCAGGGCACACGAGCTCAACCCCACCCACTCTGACCCACATTGCACCTGCACCCTGGCCCCCACGTAAGCAGAAGATGCAGCGGTCACTGGGCAGGAGAGAGAGGAGGAGGCCGGGCTCCCAGGGCACAGGGGAGCAGGCGCCCTGAGGGACCAACGACCAGGAGCCAAGACTCCAAGTCTCATTGCATGTGCCATTGTCTCATGGGACCTCACTTGCAAAACATAAATCCAAAGGTAAAATTATTAAGAGTTTGAAGAAGATGACGGTAGAGCATTATGCCTTGATTATGGGACCTTCTGTCCCTGTGAAAATGCATGAAGTCAGCCCTGCCAACAGATACCACAAACAACACTAAATCCTGAAAATGAAACATGTTTTTATTAATTAACTCACTGACGCACTTCTGTAATGCTCATTTTTCCTACATTTTTTTCCATTGTACACTCTTCAGCCACCTCTTCATAGGACGATGATTTTTTTGTATGTCTGTGTGTTGGGATTAACAACCTTAATGATGCAGAACATTGCCATTTTTTTCTATTTTTTATTGAGATATAATTGACATATAACATTAGTTTCAGGTGTACGATGTAATGATTCAATATTTGTATATATTGTAAACGATCACCACAATAAATCTAGTTAACATCCATCACCATGCATAGTTACACATTTTTTTTCTTGTTATGAGAACTTTTAAGATCTACTCTCTCAGCAACTTTCAAATACACAAGACTCTATTATTATAAACGATAGTCACCATGCTGTACATCTTCAGGACTTATTCTATAACTGGAAATTTGACCTTTTGACCACCCTTATCCATATTGCCTAGTCACCCAACAATTATTTTGAAGTATTTTCTATAGAGAGAATAGAAAAATTATGTTTTCTCCATCATGGTTAATTGAAAAATGCTTTTGATAGTTTGGAAACATTTCTTTCATCTTCTCAACTTGTTATTGGTAATATCATGGACATTATTAGGACAGTTGTCACATTCAGAAAACCTCAATCAAGTTATTTCATATAAAAGCTGCAAGTTTGGGACTTCCCTGGTGGCTCAGTGGTTAAGAATCCACCTGCCAATGCAGGGAACACGGGTTCGAGCCCTGGTCCCAGAAGATCCCACGTGCACAGGAGCAACTAAGCTCACGCACCCCAACTACTGAGCCTGAGCTCTAGAGCCCGTGAGCCACACTACTGAAGCCCACGAGCCAAGAGCCCGTGCTCCGCAACAAGAGAAGCCACCGCAATGAGAAGCCCGTGCGCCACAACGAAGAGTAGCCCCTGCTCGCCGCTTCCCGCAACTAGAGAAACCCCACGCGCAGCAAGGAAGACCCAACACTGCCAAAAATAAATAAATAAATTTATTAAAAAAGAAAAAAGCTCCAAGTTTTCGGGGAGTTTTCTAGTTTTCTTGTGCAAGGACTAATGTAATACTTTTTGGATTGATGACACTAATTAACTAGCTTGTTGGCACTTCTTGCTGTATTTCATGGTTTTCGCACACAAATTCATTGACACTTCCCTTAAGAGGAAAGCTTAATCCCCTCCCCCAGCCTTGAATGTGAGCTGGATTTAGAGACTCACTTCTAACAAATAGAATACGACAGAGATGATGTCATATCACTTCCGAAAGTAGGTCATAAAAGTTCTTCTTGCTTCCTCCTTTCTCTCCCATCAGTCACTCTGAGAGAAGCCAGCTATAGGCCAGGAGGACACACAAGCAACCTTGCGGAGAGGATCACATGGTAAGAAACTGGGTCTTCTTGTAAACAGCCAGCAAGGAACTGGGGCCCGTTGCCAACAGCCGTGTGAGTGAACCATCCTGGAAGCAGTATCCCAGCCCCAGTCAAGCCTTTGGATGAATGCAACCTCGACTGATGTCTTAAATGTAACTGTCGGGGAAATGTAATTAAAAATAAAATCTTCTGCCAACCCAGTAAAACCTCTGCTCAAAATATAGCAAAGAATACAATAGTTTTGCTATTGCATAAGGATCAAACCAAACTGTGACGTGCATCACAGATAATCCACTAAAGAGATTTCAGACAGAAAGAAACCTTACCCTTTTATTAATATATAGCCAGGCAGACCCAACTTGTTACATATATATGAATTGTCTTTGTCCAAAAGAAAAGAGAAAACTTATCTTTTCAACAAGCAAGAAGTTATGACTGTGAGCCAGGCACAGCGGCTAAACTCCCACACAGACAGGAAGCCTTGGTGTTTGCATTTCAAAGAGACAGCTCCAATACCCGCCAAGGACAGTCCTAGATGCAAAACTGGTAAGAGGCTTATTTAGTTTTTAAAAAGATTTATGTGCCTGAAAGAGACAGAGAAAGGAGGTAAGATGACAAGTTTTCTAAAGGAAATGCTGAAAGAAAAGGTGTGTTGGAGGGAGGGTGTTTTTCCCTTTTGGCACCAGGAAAATCGTCACCAGGAAAATTGTAAACCTTTTAGATTTTTATTTACCTAATCTCATGATATTTCCTGAGCCTGAGGCACCCAGCTAAGCCACTCCCAAATTCCTGGGCTTCCAAAACATATATTCATTCCAAAATGAATATCTGCTGTTTTAAGATGCTAAGTTTTGGGGTAATTTGTTACCCAGTCACAGAAAACCAGTGCTGGAGTGCTATATAAGGCGTGCAACTTCATCCAAAGACCCACGCAATGTTTGAGTTCCACCAGGGTTTGTGCTTCACACAGAGGTACAGAGGCACTGTGATTATTCGACTTCACTGGATTTCCATGAACGCAAAAATGAATCATGTGTCCATAACTGTATACACTGGGTTATTGAATCTACTGACACAGGAGAGATTTTCCATTTTTATGGAGCATCACTGAGAACCCAATCATCCACTTACCATTTTACCCTCTTACTGGTTGGAAGAACTTTTTGCACACTAGCTTCTGGCCCTCTATACTGTACACACTGTCTGTGCCCCACTAGACACAGAGGTGCATCCCCAGCTGCAGAAGTGTGGTCAGGATCCAGCTGGCAGCTACAGAGAGCCTCCTCATCCAAGGTCACACCTCACGCGAGCCCATACCTGCTGCCGGAGAGTGAGATGGGGTGTCAAGGCCTGGCCATGTCACCTTGAAAAGGGACATGCTAGTGGACCACACTCAGCCTCAAACTCCGCATCATGTGGCCGTGACTTTGTTGGGCCTGTGTAACCACTGACTTCTCCATCTTCCCAATCCTGCTTCCTTTTCTGCCCTCCACAGGTTCAGATTCCTAATAAACATCTCATACCCCAAACCGTCTTGGTGGCATCTGCCTCTGGAGAACCCACCCCATGACAGTTGGAGGTGGGGGTCCAAGAAAGCAGGTGATTAGATCCTGGTTGGAAAACTAAGATCCCACAAGCTGCGCAGCATGGCATGGCCAAACACACACACACACACACACACACACACACACACACACAAACCCCCCCCCAAAAAACAAAAACCAAAACAAATGTGGTGTTCCAAGGGGCCAAAGGGATGGGCCTCTAACAAGGATGCCAATCCCAATCAGCTTACACCTGCCTTTCCTGCATGCAGAGCTCTGTTGACACCACATGCTGAGAGCTTACTGAGCGCTTGATCTACCAGCATGGGATCCCCCGTAATACTACAACCCACCGGAGGATCCACTCCTCAGCAAAGGAAGTAGGAAGTGGGCCCATGACCCCTTGAACCGCTGGTGATATCACACGCCACACCACCCAGAAGCTGCC